ATTTACACAAGAAGCGTTATTAAAATATTATGTGGAATATTTTATGATGTTTTAGTGGACTGGGAATATCTGAATCTACTTAGATCGTATGATTGATTGTTTTTGAAACATACACAAGTCGTCTATCCTCGTATATAATTATCGACTTAACTCGCGCTGGTGAATAATGGAATTAAATAAGTTAAATATGAGGATGAATTTTTGAATACGTATATTTCATACAGTCGTTAATCGGAAAGCGAAGTAAAACAAAATGATACGCGATGAAGAATACGGGTAAGCCAACTCGATCTAATCAAGCGTTAATCGATATTTATAATCAGACAAAAACCAGTTGGAGACATGTGATGAGTGGGATAAGGAATGAACATACATATGCTCATATGGAAACAGTCAAGGTTGATAAGCGAATAATTAATACAGTTAAAATGTGACCCAAGAAGAATGAATAAATTGGACTGTCCGGAAGCTAGAATAAGCCATGTTGGTTTGACATAGCAAACGAAACTACAATGTCGCGATGAAAGACTAAAATAATAAATGTACGAAGTGGTAAGCAATAAGTGAGCTTGTGAGTTAAGTCATTATTGTTTGGTGAATGATTTATAAATTATAATTCTTTTAATGATTTGAGTTTCTAAAAACAAAGAATATTTGAGCGAACAACTGTTTTCAATAGCTTCATCATAAGGCTCTACAGTTGTGAATCCGTAATTATTATGATATTTTGCAAAGCTCAAAATAAGGCATTTACGCGTTGAATAAATTTTACTGATGTTTATTATTGTGTTGAATACTGTGTATGTTTTTTGCATAAAACAATTCATATATTTCTAACCAGTTACTTTGTCTTCTAACATGTTATGGGTAATTATTGAATCGGTATCATATTGCATACGTAGTGGCTGGTACTATTTCAATTTATTTATTCTTCTTGAGTCACATTTTGACCTTATGAAGTACTTGCTTATCAACCTTGATTGTTTTTAAGTGAGTGTGTGTGCATTACTTATCCTATTCATCATATGTTTGTAACTTATTTTTGGTCTAAATATAAATATGGAGTAACGCTTAATTAAAACTAGTTGGTTCACTCGCCAATCTGAGGACTGCTTGAATATCTGGGCCACTTGTTCCTCCCATCTAGATATTTCGTCGAATTATCTGGGGGGTTTTTTGTTTCTTTTAGCACATCTATGTCTATTGAGCTCACAACTTATTCAAGCGCGTTTATGAAAAGTTTACAACCTTTCGCTGTACGGGTTACAAAAAGGTACAATCAGCGACATCATAGTGACTGGCAATATGCACTGAAACGCATGAACATTATTCAGATGTGGACTACCGAATTTCTAACATCTAACTGGTCATCACTCAATATTTATCGTCAGAATCGATCAAGACATAAGAAAAGGAAACTTGTTGAAATACTTTATGCTGAGAATTCTATATTGTACCAGTAATATAATGTTGAATAATAATAATAATAATAATAATAATAATAATCTCCGCTGCTCATCGCTTCGTTTGGTTTCGCTTCGCTTCCATCACTACGTTTCTCTGATTGTCTGTCTGGATCAATGAGTGTATAAAATATACGCACTCAAAATTCGTCCTCGTATTTTATTTATTTTATTCCATTATTCTCTAACGCGAATAAGGTCGACAAAAATATACAAGGGTTGGCGGCATGTATATTTTGATAACAATCACCATACGATTTAGGTGGCGCCACTAAAATATCATTTCAAGCTATTGATCAAAAATTATACAATCGCACAATATTTTGAAATTGTACCAATTTATGGTGTGTATTATATGTAAAAATAGCAAGAATTATTGGAGTAGCTTATGAAATAGCATTTCTAAATCCTAATTTTCTTAGAAACAAAATATAAGTCTACTTTGTTGAAGAAAAATAAACTAGAATTAGGACCATTAAACTAATGAAGGATAGTCATGCAATGACATGAATTAACAGAAGTTAGACATTAACACAATTGGATTCCAGCTCAATGGTCAGTAAGTTAGGCGTTCGCTCACAAGACTGAAGGTTGTCGGTTTGCCTACCGCGTGAGGGATCGTAGATGTGCACTATTGAGTAGTTTCATACTATGGGAAAACGGTCGTTTAGTATTCACAGGTGTTTTCAACGGTGACTTAATCATGATCGGTTCATGATTTCAGTGAAACAATCTAATTGAACATCAAAGCTATGTTGTATGACAGGTAGGATCTTTCAGTTCGAGAATTAAAATGATTGGCTTATTCTGATACCAATGTTCTTTTTCAATGAGATACAAGTGTCAATATTTTGTTTACTTTCACTTTTCTTAGGCATTATACTTAACACTTGCTCTTCATGCATTACTTCAGTAATGATAAAACTACTAGGAATTCCCACCTGATCTTTTCACGTTAATTAACACTTTCATATCGATAGTTATGTATTATGATAATATGCTCTTCGGTCTTCCTCTTTTCCGTTTCCTTTTAGGATTCCATGTTAACACTTGCTTCGTGATGCAGTTTGGTGATTTCTGGAGTTGATTTCCAGAGTGTTCTCCTAATTTTCTGTTCACTTTATAGGTTGATTTTACTCGTTTTCATTAACACACGTTATCACAGGGAAATATTGAATATATATATCTTATCTGATAATGATTGAACAATTTATTAAAATAGTCAAATATTCTTGCCCGCCGTAGTTTATTTATCATTATACAAATGAGATAATTAAATGAGATTAAACTCCCCCTATGGTTTTCACAACTTCATTTGAAACCACAGGAAAGGAACACATTATGCTTTAAATTTATGTAATAAAGTGGCGCAGCCAATCTCTTGTACACCTCTAGGAGACGGTCTCATGTACGTAGCTTCAATTATTTAAATAACATGATATTTGTGTCATAAAATCTATATGTAATTGATGTATAGATAGTAAAACAATGGTCAATAAAATTGAGCAGATACTTCTTTCTCGATCGAAGATCGGTGATACTAGTTCGATAAACGTATAAACACTGATATTTAGTTGTCAACGTGTATCTAGTTTGTAGTGAAATGCTAAAACGTTAATTTTATACAATTTTTTCAAGAATTCATGAATAACAAATCACGGTGTAACAACTAACAAACTAGAATTCGGGATGTATGGAAAATACTTTGTTCGTAAATACGATATACCGCTCAGTCAATTTATGGTCAACAAATGTGCAATAATGTAAGTTGCTAAATAAATTTCAAGACATATATATGTGACTTACTGCCTTCTAATCTTTTATGACAAACCTAAATCTCCTAACAAACATTTTGATATCAAAGATTTATCGTGGAAAATTATTTGTTGTGAAAGACAAAAGATCTATTAGTTTATATCAATATAAGGTTGTGAAGATTGTTTAGTTTTAATTGAAATTATGAATCAATCAATGTTAGACCACCATTTAAAACACTTGAGAATACTAGACAACCGTTTTGTCATAATATGAGACTACTCGGTAGTGCGCATCCACAAGCCTTCTCGTGGTACGCGAACCCATGATCGTCGGTATCACACGAACGCCTAACCTCAAGACCAGTGAGATGGCATCCAACAGTGTTAATGTCTAACTTCAATCTATCCATGATCTTGTCTAACCCTTCATCAATTATCTGAGGTAGATAATTGTTTCACACCCGACACGGTTGAATTCCACTGACCACGGCTTCTCATTAGAACTCCGAGGATTACCTCTCAAAGGTGGTTACTAGCATATGATGGTCAGACAATATCGGGGATTGGTTTATGCTATGCATTAACACCGTTACATTCCAGCTCAATGATCAATGGGTCAAGCATTCGTACGAGACCGAAGGTCCCTAGTTCGCATACCTCGTGCATGGCCGTAGATATGCAATAGTGAGTAGTCCAATATTATGACGAAACGGCCGTCCAATATTTCCGGGTTTTCATTGATGTTTTAACATTGATCAATGATCTCAATAATAATTCATATCAGCTTGTATTACATATGCATACATGCTAACATAAAGTTGAAATATTTGCTATGATCAAGAATCGACATGAACAAAAAGTAAAAAAAACGTTGCGAAAAAATGTTTACTTCTGCACAGTAGATCTTTTGATAGAATAGTTATGATATCATTATTATTACTACCACTAATAATAATAATAATAGTAATTACAAGGGTGTTCCGTAAGGAAAAGATATGTCACGCAAAGGTACGATCAGGTCATATATCTGTTTTCCTACTAATGGTCAAGTTTCTTTGGATATACCATTTTCTAAAAAAAACTTTGAGGCTATTTAGTTAACAGAAAAGATTTGAATACTGGAATATTCGGTCAATTCAATGACAGGTAGATTTCTAAACAGACCAATAAAAGAGAAGTATTTTTTTGACTGAGATCATGAACCGATTAATCTTAGTTAATCATTGGAAGCCAGGAAGTACTGGACGACCATTTCGTTCTATTATGGAGCTCCTCAGCATTGCGCATCCACGATCCCGCTCGCGGGATTAAAACCCAGGGCCTTCATTCTCACGCACGAACGCTTAACCTCTAGATCACGGAGCCGGCCGTCACCCAACGATGTTAATGTCTAATCTCAACTAATTCACGAGATAATTTACATTTTTATCTACTAGTATTCACACTAAACATTATTGAATTGAAAAGAAATTTCTTAGCTCGATCCGTTCCTTCTTTAGACATTATTCTTCTTAAGAATAGAAAAAAATTAATTTTAAAAATTATTTTACAGTGTCATTTTTCGTCAAAGATTTATACCAAATTCTTCAACAATATTAAAATTGGACAATTTAGATAAACAGCCTTTAAATGTATTATTGCCAATATGGGACAATGTTACAAATATATTACACCAATAGTATAACTCCATCGTCTTATTTTATGATTGGTCAAATTCAAGGCTAAAGCTTAATATGCGTTTATTTGAGTAAACCATATACCTTTATTATACCCCCTCCCCCTTCAAAAACAAAAAAACAAACAAACAAATATTTTAGATCCAATTCACTTTTATTGAATCTAAGTCTCAATTATATAATTGTTGAATTTATTTCATCAGAGAATATTTTTGACATAAATAATTAGTCTAAACTTTGAAATATACTCTACTATCAGTGGTTCCATTGAATAAATGTAAGTTAATGATAATGATAAGTTGTTTTTGGTTATTAAATAAGAAAGATTAGTTCAATAAAGCGTTCTCTTTATGGCGAACACTTCGCTGAACTAATCTTTCTTATTTAATGTTTTAATGGGTGTATTCCGTTTTGTTTATTGTCTAAGACTAAACAGAATTCCATTATTATATATGTAATTTTTTTATAAAACATTAAGAATGCTTTTTATTAAAAAAAAGTAAATTAGTCTTTGAATCACTATTTCAATGTCCTGAAACCTTCCCTCCCAAACTCTATTTATCCGAAACAAAATTTTATGACTTCAATAACTCTAACGGAATCTTAGCTACATTATGTTACATATATTCATCCTTCATCGCCCTCAAATGTATAAGTATGTCAATACATATAATAACGTTAAATTTTAAATATTTTAGGTTATAAGCAGCTGATGAGAACCTGACGAAATAAAATGAATTCATATTACTCTGCACCAACCTTTATTACTGCTCTCTTTAATATCATAAATTTATATCAGTCCAGGTTTTTAGGGATTGTTGAGTTTTAACTGAGATCATGAATTTAATAAGGTTAGATCACAAGTGAGAACCTGAAAGCACTGGAGGACCATTTCTTCTTGAAGATTTCTATACTAGGAAGGAACGGCCATCTATAGCTTACTTATCAAAAATATTACATTAGAAAAATTGAATGATCGCGTTCTAAAGTGTATATATCAAATTAAACAATATCATTATTCAGGTAATATATATCACCTGAATATTATGTAAAATGACGGAACCATTTATGTTTAATCTTGAATTAATATCATTTTACATGATTCGGTAATAATAATACTTACGTTTTATAATTGATGTCGAACAGAATAATTTTTAAACTAATACATTAAGCTGTTTCTTAAGATCAACCCCTATAATCATTTGGTGAAACCAATTGAATGTTGATCATTATAACCAAGGACTTATTAATGAAAAATTTATTATACATCAGCATAATTTTTTCCCCAATAGAAAGTACTTTCGGATTTACAATGAAGTGCCTTATATCTGTTTTACTATGTAGACAGTGAATATTTATTATGCCGATAGATAATAAATGGTTGTATATGCAATTGTAGAAAAAAAGGCGAACAATTCAACTGAAACGTGTAGATAAGATTTGTGGGTTGTATTCACCACAGATAAATTTCAGCTACAGTATTACTGATAATATAAGACTCCATAGAAGAATGAAACATCTCAACAGTGTTAAACTGAGATCACTGTTTTATAAGTTAACCAATCTCCAAAGAATGACTTCAATTAAAATAGGAAGATTACGAAATGAAAACTCTTTAAATAAAGCAAAAACAAACATTCATACAGATTAATAGGAATTCATGATAGTTCGTGGTTTCTCATCAGCTACTTACGACCTAATATGCATTGGAATTTTACATTGAGGTAAGATATAGTGTAGAACAACTGACATAAGTGAATGTGAAGAACCGAAATCACAAAGGTTATCAATAATAACTATATATATATATGGAAGAACGAGTCAGGGGTTGTTTGGTGTTAGAATCAAGGAAACATTAGGGATAGGTGGTGTAATGATGTAGTTGAGTGAAGTTCAGAAACAGATAAGATAACTTATGTGATAATTTTAGAGGTAATGAAGGGTTTATATAAGACTAATGGAATTAAAACACTGGTAATGCGGATTAATTAATCATTAATAGGATTTGAAGAGTTTACATAATTTAAGAGAATCGAGTGAGTGGAAATGTATGAGTGAAGGAGTAATTTAAGAATTCGGTAATGGAATACTAATATAACACAGACTTAACATTAACAAAATAAAACTAATGACCAAAAACAGAAAAGAAGTGGATTATCAAGGTAGTGATAGGTTTATTACTGTCTCTTTTTGAATACATAGATCCGGTTTGATTTTTTGATTCAGACTTACTCCATTATGTATCCTAGTCATAGATACTACCAGTAAAAATTAAAAATCATTTGGCAACTTAATTAGTATCTTTATTTGTCACTTCATTAGTTCTAAAAAACAAACACTTATCATGTTATTCATGAATAAAACCATTTTTATTCCAAGAAATTAAAACGTTATATATCAAAACATCCATCTTTGTTTGAGCTATTGATGGAAGTTGATGTATAGTTTATATTTTAATCAATTTGCCATAAGCTTCTTTTAATGAAAAGGTATTTGTATTTAGCGAACATAAGAAAATCTCAATTTTATTACTTCCTCTTTCAGTGATCAGTTAGTTTTGATATTTACTTTTATGGATCTTCAGAAGTAAATTTTATATATCAGGTTATGTAATATTTACAATCATCGACTATATGTTATTGAGATTTTTCACACTATTCATACAAATGTATGTACTGCTCAAATGTTCTGTGTATTTCAGAACGTTAGACAAAAATATCGTTACATGCAATCTTTTTATCACATACTATGTGGATAAACCAATTTATGATATATATTTATATCCAGGTCTACCATATTGTGTCCCATACATATACAGCTCACTTGACCTTCATAACGTCCACTTACAATGTTGTGTAAGAGAATATAATGTTGACAATGGCAGATATTTTAGTAGTATAAGGATGTAGAGGTTAAGCGTTCGCGTGCGAGGCCGAAGGTCATGGGTTCGTACTGCTTAGGAGTCTCATACCAGGACGAAACATCTTTCAGTACTTCCAGATTTTCAATAGTGATCTGACATCGATCCATTCATTATATCAATCTTAAAATGGACATTTTACTATCATGATGAAAATTAAATAAGCGATATTGACCAGATGTTTTCTACATGATGTTTAAGTGAATTTAAGCCAAATTTTCTGAAGTAACTCTTGACCAACTTAATATTTGCTATTCATCTAATAACCTGGTGAATCGTAATCTATTAAAAAAATTAGTCTTGAGACACAATTTTCTGTATATCACCTGTTTATAAGGTGTTGATATTCGGACCAAAGTAGGTAAAGTTATTATCGAACTTACAGTATGAAGATTGAAAGCCCAAAATATGGTTTATTAATAAACACAGCAGTGAAATTGAATGATCAAATACATATGTAAACCAAATCAACTATCTTTCACGCATCTGAAAAGTCCTATACTAGAACGAAATGGCTGTTAAGTAATTCCAGTTCATGCAAATTCCCTAAACTAATAACCAACTGTTCACTGGCTTCGAGAGTTTATTCCTAGAGATCTGGTGAGAAATCATGACCAGTTTAGTTCAACTATGTTGGGTGAGAGATAGCTCACGATAGTCGATAGACTAGGATTACTCATTATCGTGAATTTAATAAAGTGAGACATGTTTACCATCGGATACGGGCTCACTTGTTTAGAGGTTAAGAGTATGTGTGGAAGCGTAGGTCCTGTATCCGCTCTCTGGATGCGAGATCATAAATGCCTACTGTTGTGAAGTGTCACACTACAATCAAACAACTATCCAGTGCTCTCAAGTTTTTAAGGTGATGTTTTGATTTACATATATATTTGATCATTCATTCAATTTGACTACTGTGATTATTAGTAAACCATATTCTGGGCTTTCAATCTTCATACTGTAAGTTTGATATTAACTTTACCTACTTTGGTCCGAATATCTACATCATATAAACAGGTGACATACAGAGAATTGTATCCCAAGACTAAAGTATAGATTCATAATAGACATAATGTTTGGTCAGTTTATTTTTACATCTATCTTTGTATATATCTATTTCATTTCATCATTTATTCAATGTAAATGATTATCAATAAGCTATAGATAGAAAACTATATATATATATATATAATAAACCTTTGTATGATAGTATATCACGGAAATAAGATAAATGTTACAAAATAGAAACTAGAATTTTCTTAATTGATATGATAGTAAATGGGAAAAGATAATCAGTACTCTTTATTTGTAATGGTAACTTCGAAATTATACAATCTGAATCTTCTATAATGAAAGAAGAAGGAAAAATAGATCATAAAAGAAATTGATAATAAAAGCAGATGGATGAAAAAGATTCTCAGAAAAAAACCAAAAAGCATTATTTTTTTGCAAAAAGAAAAGATTGAATATGATTTATGTTAAATAATTTGTTTACAATAGTAGTTTTAAGTTCAGTTGTATTATGAATTGACAGCTTCCTTGTGAATTATCTGAAATATTATCGAATTCATTAGTGGTTAAGTGCTCGCACGCGAAACCAGCAGGTCCTGGGTTCGAATCTCGCAGGGGGCGTGGTCGTGGATGCTAATCATTATCATCTCTTCTTATAATGCGAAGATAGGTGTTCGTTAGTTTACTATATCAATTGTCTAGTTTTACTCCCAAAATATCTTTCTCCGCAACAGTAGCGGAACTCGTAGATACATATGAACGTTACTTATTTATTAATATAATCTATTCAGTTGTTCTCATTGATTTATAAAATGCCTTGACTAGTTCAATTCTTTAGATATACATTTAAATATTCCTGTATATTATAGTGAAGCTTGATAAAGATCAAACTGAAAACAACATTGTTCGTTAATATATGTTGTTCTAATTAATGACCTGTTAGCGACCATCAACGGGTACATAGGAATAAAGACCAAGTAATGTAAACTTCACAATTCATCTGTACATTTAGCACGATGTAACGTTATATATATGAACATCTTTATCATTATGCTTAAACTATATTTATTTAGTTTTTGATTGAGATAATGAACCGACTGACGTCATATCGAATTTGGAAACCTGGAAGGACCGAACGGCCGTTTCGTCCTATTGTGGTACTCCTCAGCAGTGCGCATCCACGATCTCTCTCGCGGGATTCGAACCCAGGGTCTTCAGTCTCGCGTGTGAACGCCTAACCTACTGGACTACTGAGTTGGCACAAACCTATTTAGTTCTGTCTTATAATCCATTTTAAGGATCCGATAAACTTATTCTTACTTTTAAAAGCTTTGAATTTAAATATTCACTAAGACCAATTGATTATTATATTCCCATGATATTCAGGTATACAACCAATGAATTATATCAGTTTTATTGTTATCAATATTTTTTTAATCTCAAATGAAATCATCTAATTCAAATTGTTATCTTAACGGTAAACAGAAACTCACATACATAGACATCTACCAAACCAGCTGGTAAATATGCCTATACATACATATTAGAACAACTGTTATTAAATATACCATTATGGTTTCATGAGTATATATATATATATATATCAATAATTTTTATCCATATGCTCCGGTAATTGATGTAATAGAATTTGGTCGACTAAAGTTGTACAATTATTTTGTTTTTGTTTTCAACTAGCTTAACAATCTGTGGTTGAAATAATCGAAGTGTATATATGAACCATATTATTATTATTATTATTATTATTATTATTATTATTTCACAATCTATTGAACTAACTCAACTTGAATGGTTATTCATGTAAACAACTTATTACGATAGTCTTAATACAATATGTGTAACTATTATTAATATTGTGGAGAAGAAACAATCGGAATAAAGAAAATGATTATCAAAGGTTTTGCGTGAAATATAAATAACATTTTATAACTTTTATTAAATGTTTCTCCCATAATAATTAAGAAATGATTATGATCCAAATCAATGAATTTCAGTTTCCATATTTTTTTTATTGTCATCAGTTTTATTCAATATTACTATTTTTGGTACAATATAGAATTCTCAGCGTAAAGTATTTCAACAAGTTTCCGTTTCTTTCTTCTTGGTCGGTCATGGCGATAAATATTGAGTGATCGCCAGTTAGGTGTTAGCAGTTCAGTAATAATGTGCATTCTTTTCGTTGTATATTGCCAGCAACCACATTGGCTCTTATTGAGTTTTTTCGTAACTTTGACAACGAAAGGTTGTACACTTTTCGGAAACGCAGCAGAATACATCATGCGATTAATAAACATATTGATATATTAAAACAAATAAAAATAAATAACTTGTTGAAATATCTGGATGGCAGGAACAGGTAGCCCAGATACTCAAGCAGGCCGCCCTTTCAACAATATCATATACCATTAGTAACTTGCAAAATAATAAGCCAATCGTTAGCAAAGGAATGATAAAGTTTCTAAGTATGATCTTCACGAGTTGTTTTTTTATCAGAACTTCGTTTGAACAAGTTTTCAGAAAATTTGTTATTAAAGATTTTGTAGATAATAAGGTGTTCTTTGTTTAATTATTTACGACACTTGAAGAGACCTGGAAATAGACCAGCTTACACTCAGATAATTAGGAATCTCTAGCAATGTCTCTTTAATAATAATATGAGAAAATTGATAGTAACGCTGTAAGAAATAAAACGTCTATTAAAATCACCATACTTTAAAGAAATTGATTACCTCCCAGATGAAATTTCCCATTTTTATTTAAAAGGTGAACTTAAGCTCACAAAATCATATGTAACGTTTTAACTGGCTTAGTACCATAATATAGTTACACATTTTTAAATGTCGCTTATTCATTTTATGCATTCAACTTATACCAATGATTCACTCAAATAAGTTCGAATACGAAGAAGGAAGCGTATACTGGTAACAATATTTTTAAACAGAATCAATTTTATGACCGATCATAAAAGCCGCAATATTAAATAATGATAATCGGTAGTGATTTTAGGTGATGTCTACTTTCATCAGTTCTATTACATATACATAGATTAATGAAGGTATCTTTATTTTGTCTAAACATGTTTCTAAGTGATATTTCACCAAAGTATCTTCACGATACACTTCATCAATATGATCGAGTAACTATGCTTTTGAACACAATGAATGAACATATGAATGATTTTAAATCGATTTATAACCATTCATTATTCTGAACTTAAGAAAGATAATTATAAAGGAACTTTTACGGTGTTTTCCTTCACATTTACCCAATTCAAGGTATAATATTTAATTTAACAAGCTTATTTAATATTTTTCACAAAAAAAGGTTTTCAAATGTGAATGGATGTTAAAAGCAATATGCTTTTTATCAGTCTAAAATTGAAATAAAATAACAGATAACAATTTAGAATGAATGTGTTTAATATTTTTTTTGGGGGGGATAGTTAAACTAATAATTCCTATGACTATGGTAAAGGTCAAATATATTCACTGTTAGATTTTAGTTTAGCAACTTGATGATCCAGTGGTTGGTGTAAAACTAGGAGTTTTGGCTTACCTCACAGAATAAAATTGTAAGTTCTTCATATGTAGAAGTGGGATCAAATTAACCTGTTAAGTGGTTCTTAATTTTCAATGGTTCTCATATGACAACATTTAGAAGTAAAAAATCTCTGACTTTTATCGAATTTCTACATAATCTACATACACCAACAAAAAGGAATCAGCTGAGAAATTTCAAAATCTAGCTATTTAACTGTTATAATAGTTAAAAATGTTGACCATTAATTAGGAACTCAATGTTTTATATTTTGTGCCTGAACTACAAGACCTGGAAGTCCTAGATGTGGCGCTTGTCGATTTCATGAATGTGCACTGCCAAAGAGTCCCACTGTAAAATAAAATAGTGACATAATGACACCTCCTACTAATATCAAGTTGTAATAAATGATATCTACTGGTAATCACATTTAAGATGGTTGAAAAATACCAACGATTACTCATAACCTGAGATATTTATGATTATTGAGGACATCATTCTACGAATTTGTGATGATGAAACAAGTGGTTTTACTTGATCAAGTCTAAGTGAATCCTTTCTTTAAAAGTATCAAATATTAAACCATTTATACTCTTCAAACGTTAATAGAATAAATTTATGTTTCGTACATCGAGTACTTTCTGTACTGACCTGTTATCTCAAGGAATTTCACTTTGTTTTTTAGATTTTAATTGACTTTTCTGTCTAGTCTAAGAATGTTACTTAGTATTGATAAATAAGAATTAAATCGGATAAATTTATTTCAGGCACTTAGTTACTTAAACAAGTAATAATATAAGAAGCAGTGATGGTAATGGTCTCTATACAAAATATTGTTCATTCAAAACGTCAATATCACTCACAAAAGTTAATTTTCTAGTGTGACTAGAAAACAGACATTGAATAAAATAATAAGTAAACAGACAATAACACGCACACACACAAGCATAAATGATGTTTGTATTCGTAGTATAGAAAGGATACGAATATAAGAGATGTATATTTTGACAGTCACGATTTCCTATGAAAGCAACAAAATTACTAAATGGGTAAAAATGACTCAAAAGTTACACATTATCCAATATATTAGAGTCAATTCAAAAGGTTAGATTAATCACATATGTAATCTCACTAAATTTTCCTACGGAAAATACACTTTTTTCGATTATTCTAAACTTCATCACAATACAATGCACTTTTACTGCTATTGTAGCGAGCAGAACACGAGTGGTGACAATCGAGAGTATTCAGCACAAAATTACAGAATTAGTTGGTAAAATAGAAAAACCATATAGTAAATCGTTAATTTGCAAAATATCAATCCATCATATCAACCTGGACTGTTCCTGTTGTAAACATCAATCCATTGTCTAACATTTCATTTTTCATGCGTTTTCTTACAACTTGCATTTTGTTCTCGCTCTTCCTTTCTTGATCTCCCTCCATTTTCTGCTACCAGACATTACGTTTTTAACTTGCGTCATATACTACTTACATCAATATACGTAGCACGCACCACACTATTATTAAAGAAAAAATGATAGAATACTTCAACTATTTACAGAGAAGTAAATTCCTAAATATTAAACAGCTTATAAGGAGCATACAATAAAAACAGAAAAACACATGAATGAAATCAGTATTCGTAACCAGTTTTATCCTCAAAATAAACAACTAGATGTATCAACTAAAAATTCACTTCACCTACTTACACAGTGAATGTCATTTAATTTTGCGAAGAAATAGGTTAACTTATCTTTTGTATACTCTTATTGTAAAGTTGTAAGTGTACTAGTTAGTGTAAGAAGTTTCAAATTACTTGTGTTATACCAAGTAATTATCAATTGTCATCTAACTAAGGTACAACCTATATTCAAAAAGATTTTAAAAATTACTATTATATTCAAAATGTTTTACAAAAAATAACCTAACTAATTCTGTTTTGTTTTAAACCGCTAATAGAATCAACAATAAAGTATCAAGATTGTCTCCAATACCATAATCATCTATTGTGTTCCTTTGTAATGAAAAGAAACCCCCACTAAAATCTTATCATTGGTACATACTATTATGATTGTTTGAATTTATAAATACGATTAAGGTTTATTATCTATTTTATACGTTTAGTTAGTAAAACTCAATATTATCATTCATATTTGTGTGAGATTTAACCAAAATTCATATTAACGTTCATTAACAGCATTTTAATATAGGAATTAAAACAAACATCGTTACCGTTATATTAGTATTCCTGCTATTATTATTAATATTTTCCTAATGTTTTTCAGAGTTACCAGTAGTAATTAATTTATTGATGAGATCATCTTTATTCTTATGTATGAGTAATTCCACTTTAATCTTATACAGTCTTTATAATTCATTTCAGTTATAAGTTACATTAAATGATAGAAGTATTAAAAATGTATTGTACCTCTAAGACTACAAATAACTGGACCAGAAGGTTATGTATAAAATGCATTATGTATGATGATGATGATGATGATGATGATGATGATGATGATGATGATGATGATGATGATGATGATGATGATGATGATGATGATGATGATGATGATGATGATGATGATGATGATGATGATGATGATGATGATGATGATGATGATGATGATGATGATGATGATGATGATGATGATGATGATGATGATGATGATGATGATGATGATGATGATGATGATGATGATGATGATGATGATGATGATGATGATGATGATGATGATGATGATGATGATGATGATGATGATGATGATGATGATGATGATGATGATGATGATGATGATGATGATGATGATGATGATGATGATGATGATGAAATGTTGCAATGAATAAACTAAGTGCTACCAAAAACTAAATTCACTATAACAAATCAATAATGAGGTTTGATAAATAAAAGACTTTTTACCAAGATCTTACCAAATAACAAAATAACAGACTAATTTCAATGTATGAGGATAATGACTGCATGTATTTTTATTTAAAATTCCAAACCAACATACGTTTCACTCTATAATGTTTCCCACTTATCCATACAATTATTACAAGCAGTTTTCATATGAAATATCGTCTCATAAATTTATTCGAAAATCTTTTATTTGAATTGAAATGATATTTAAGTAGGTGTGTGGTGTCCTAAAATATAAATGGCTACATTTCCTTTCATTCGCATCGGTTCTTTATATCTTTCTGTTGATGTTCAGAGTTGCAATCGATCAGTCTTTTATTGACATATGTCCATCCTATGTGGATTGCTTCGATAATACCATTCAGTCATAAGCAGTAAAAGAGAAGTTGGATTGTAGTTAACAGTGGAATATAGGACACGAGTTACATCCTATTTGAAACTCATCAGCCTGATGTACCTATATTCCAGATTTGGTGTTCAATTTCGGACTCGAACCTAGTACTGTTCACTTCAAATTCCATCACATTATTCACTTAGCTACTGAGTCCAAATACAGAGTAGATCAGATAAAAATACTAATTTATCGAATAACTTAATGACCAATGTCAAACTCATTTTTGTTGACATTCTGGTTTCTTATCTCAAGTGGTAGAGCGGCTTGTGAATTTAATCTTACTGCAAATTAGATTATTCAAAGACTTAATTCATCATTTTCGTATCTACACAACTCTCAAAATCTTGCACTAAATCTATTTTATGAAGACTAGTGGTACCAATTAATTCTTACGTGGCACGTATATACAGAAAGTAAGCATGGTACACTTTAATTTCCTTTGATAACTATACTTGTCCTGTAATAATTTAACTTATTATATAACCTGGTTTATTCATTGACCTACTAATACTCGTCTTTTGAGTAAATTTTGTAGAAACTATACTGTATCATTACGTAGTTATTGGTTCTTGCTATGAGCAGCATTATTTATAACCTCTAGACTAGACATTTGTATATCCGTCCATCTCAACTCTAAACTTTAGTATTAATTTGTCATTTGCTTTTAATATCCAATCTCTCCTGAAAATTCCATCTTAACATCACTAACTACTATACATTGAACATTTAATAATAATAATTTATTCTGAAAATATTAATTACAGAATTCACGTCAGTTTACAGGCATGATCAATTTGATATAAATAGTAACATTAGATGTACAGAACAAACATGTGATAGAAGAAAGTTTTAAGTATACTAGTTCAGTAGTGGTTTAGGTAGTACATGTATTACAGTGATCCAGTGCGTCAGCCGTGCGTTTTTAATATTTCTTAAATGGACAGCCCGTTGATTTATGAACGGAGTAATTAAGGTCATTTCGTGTGCCAGATCGAATTAATGATAATTATCTACAACTAGAGAAATTAAAACGAAAACAGAGAGCACGGAACAACAAAGCAATAATTACCGAAATATGTCAATCAAGTCTACTTAAATGCGTGTATCATGTGACCCGGTGATATACTGTTGATGTTATTCAAGTTAGTTAAACCTTCTGGGGACGGGGTTACCATAAAGTGACAGCAAGTAAGTGGTATTACTTAGGGAATGCACTAATAATAAATGGCTAAACATTTAAAGTTCCTATAATACTACTTGTGGAATGAGATATACTTACAGGTGCTAGACCATTCAACGCACTTTCAGAGGAGCAGTATGCATCGATGCAGCGAACAAATAATGGGAGTGATTTTATCGTGCGGATAGATTGTGGTAGGTTATTCCAGAGTCTAGAAAGTTTGCAGGTGAAGTAATTCATATAAAGAGATAATTTAGAATGAGTTTGTTTCACTAGTGCCAAGGAATTACGGATGTCATAATGAGAGGTTTCTGCATATTGAATCGCGTGATTGGATGTAAACGATAGTTTATGAAGTAGTTTGAAGAACAAAATGAGATTTAGTTTGAGTCTCCTCTTCCATAAAGGGTCTAGCACAAGTTTATTACATCTAGAACTATAAGTTAAGGTACAATCAGCTCCAAGAATACGAAGTGTAAACCGTCTCTGTACTGATTTCAGTTTTAATTTATCCTCTATGCGCGCACTGCTAAGAATAAACGTGCAATATTCTAGAAGAGGTCGAGCAAAAACTTTGTACATTAGAATACGTGACTTAGTGTTGTAAAGATTTCGAGTTATGTAACCTATTAGACGTTGAGACTTAGAGGTCTGTTTTAATATCTGTTCTGTAAACGATAAGTCTTGGGAGTATCTAAGTCCTAAGTCTACTACTGTACTGTTTCAAACCTTATTGTATATACTTGATCTAAAGTCAATTAAAAGCACTGATATAAAACACCTTTGAGACTACACAATCCTTCCTTTTCTGAGTGACTTTTTAAACACTCTTAACAACTCAATATCCATCATTTTTTAAACAAAAACCAAATTGTAAGAGAGAAATTAGAAGATATGTATTGTTTTATCATGTTACTTAAATTTCTTCACGTTCACAATTAGTTACTCTGTTTTGAAAATGAAGTATTTATTGAGTATTTCAAAGATGTAAATAGCTCTTCAATTGCCCCCCCCCCTATATGCAATATGCATCACTGATACGAAATCAGGTGATAGAAAGTACAAAATGTTATTGATGGATAGCTTTATCATTATAACATTTGTTCTTCTAATAGATCTATTTCCTTTCCAATAATCAGTAATCAGGTTCTTTCCCATGCTCAGTCTCTATTTTTGGCAACAGTTTCTTTCATTTTCAACAATGTTTCTAATATCACTTATATATTCTCTATAAAATTTCATCTCATGTGGTCTACAATAAATATCCACTTTTAACAGAATAATAATATTAAATGTTTCATGAATGTACTCTCTTATAATTAACATAACGAGTAATTGAAATATGAATTAAGATCCTTAATAGTTCCAGAAGTCTATTTTAATTTTACCAAAGATTTCATTCTAATCTGTGTATCTTGCTATTCTTATTCTATTCAACAAATCTATTTCCCTCAATTGCATATTATGGGTTTTTTTTTAAAAAATTAACAATCAACCGTAAATCTCAATTTTTCACATTACAATACAATAAAATATTGTAATAAATGATGCATATAATTAAATATGCATAATTTACAAATTCATTTGTATACTAAACACAGTCTCACCATGAGAACAATCCCCCCACCCCCCACCACTACCCCGAAATATAAACATCTTTTCAGATCACATTCGTTCATCCGTATTCATTCGTGTAAATTGGGAATATTTTTTCTTGTTGTTGTTGTTAAGACTAAAATCTACAATAGTTAACTGTAAAAGAATAATTGATGATGATTAAAAACAAACAAATTTTTTTTCACTTGCATAAGTTACCAAGTCAAGTTTAATAAATGACCGTAATTAGATTGACGTGACTAAATTTAATAATAAATATTTACTTATACACATTGTTTGTATTCAATCTATATACTTTAAGCTTAATTCTGATCAGAGAATCATTGCATTAAAATTTTATTTATAACTATACTTTAGACAAAGTTTAGAAATTGTGACCGTCTTTGAAATTCATGAGAAATTTCTTTTCCTATTTTTTCATACATCGGTTCAACTAAATTTCATTTGGAATATGAATTATAAAATATTTAGTAATTTTATAGTTAAATTCATGAATCAATTAAAGCTAGAGCATTATGGAAAACCTGGAAGCACTGAATGGCTGTTTTGTTCTAGTATGGGATTCTTGATTATAATCATCGTATGCTCACTAGTGACTGTCTCCAATAAGTATTTCCTGGAATTTTAGTGAGAAACAGTGACTAGTGGAGTTCAACCAGGTCGGTTATGAGATAGTAACTCACTGAAGACAGTGGCTCAATTTCGTGGATTATTTGAAGTTAGACATTAACATTGTTGGATGCCTAGAGATGTCTAGAGATTAAGTGTTCGCGCACGAGACCGATGGGTCCTAGAATAAGTTTAAGGTTAAAATGCGACTTATAAATAACACTGGTTGTTTGACATAGTGTGTAGTTTGTGAAACTTGTAAACGAATAATAATCGTAAAGGAGTACACACAAAAACAGAAAAATCTCAAACGTCGTAGCCAAGACTGATAAATATAACTGTGTCCAAAATTCTTTTCATATAAATTAAGGGAGTTAGTTACAAGAAAAAGTAATATTCTCAATAAAAATAGTTAGTTAAGGAAGTATATGAGATTATTAGAATTAAAGTATTTTATAAGTAAAAATCGGTTGAGAGATTTTATTTGAAGCTTCTCCTTCCGACTATGTTTTCTCAGTATCTTGATGAGAAATTTGATAAAAGTGATGATCTAGCTTCAGTTGACTCATGATTTCAATCAGTGAAATTTCTAAAATCTCCACAAAACCCCTTCTGATAAAAGCAAAATATACTGACGAACATGAGTGGATTATCAGCCAGTTAAGAAACGCTACCTGGTTATAAAACAATTAGCAGTACAAAGAAATAAACTAACAGTGGTATAATAGCTTTGATTTGAATAATTAACTTAAATGTTAAACTGCTCCTCATAGAATAAAAAAATGGTTAAATATACATGTTAAGAGTCCAGCTAATGTTTTTACTTAGAGTTATCTTTCCGCAGAGTTTTGGTCACTAAATAAAATCATTTATATTGCATAAAAGTTTGGATTAGGTATTAAGAGTTCTGTTGAGGTTTTGAGTTAATCTAACAAATAAAGGTAAGGGTTTCCATCATGAACTACCATCAGCTATAATGCAATCCTTGCCAATTTTCTTTTTACAACTTTAAGAAACTTAGGATTGAGATTTAGAAGAATATTACCTAGCGTCGCTAAACACTCCTAAATATGCATTCAATAACATCTAGTAATTTAACAAACAATCAGCCTTAGGAGCAGGTGTGTTGTGTAATTTATCTCAGGCAATACCTAAAATTCACTTTTTGGTTGCATAATAGATTTCAAGCATTTTTAGAATCGATTATTGTCAATTATCATTGAGTATTTTCCTAATTCTAATTAGTCAACTCAAGGTCGTCATTATGCTATACTTGTACCATAAATTTTAAAATGATTATGAATAAAATAGTAGGGATTGAACTAGACGTTATTGAAATGTGTACGCAGTTTGTCTAGCTGAACACTTTCTTTCCCCGACATATGGCATACCAGAAAACAAATTATCTTTGTCTGTAACAACGCTTGAGTTTAAATCTAAATTAGTGATAGCATGATCATTAGAGCCCATTGTTATTAAAAAGGTAATCACTGAATAAATGGTTGTCTTATTTATTCATCTCATAGCAATAATAAATGATGTTATTTTAAAAATCAATATTTTCTGGAGACTGGTTTGAAGGGGAGGAAACATATATGAACCAGATTTTTGTTGCGAGGGCGAGTTATATATATATATATATATATATATATATATATATATATATATATATATATATATATATATATATAATTAAAATAATCCATTGTATCATTGAATAAAAATAAACAGAATTTGGCAAAGAAACCTTTTCCTTTGGGTGAAATCATTTACTTAAACTGTACATTCGTATTTATAGTTATATGAAAAATATATCTCTATAGAAGGATAGAAAAGATTGCATCATAAATTGATTCGAGACTCTTATTAATGTCGATAGTAACTTAACACATAGTTATCATCCGGAAAAAGCATCAACATTACAAAAGGAAACTTTTTTTATGAATATGGAATTTAAAAGAGATACCGGCTTCTAAAATCTTGAATAAACGAATTTCATAATCGATGAATAAAACATTCTACTCAGCTAAGCTCTGAATTGCTTTCTCAAGCCGACTTACCATTCACGGATGTCTTAATGATAAACTTTCGCTTTGGGTCAAATCAATGTGCATCTATATATTTACTTGCTTATGTGGGACAGGTTACATTGACCGCACAAAACGATCACTTTCTAAATGCATCTCAGAACACTATCCGGTATGATTTTTAAAAGGAGAATACAAAACAATTACTAGTTCAATGCAGAACCATTTACTCAACTATGAATATATTGCTCCAAAAGAAGTCTTCTTTCAAAATAATTAACATAGTCAAAAGAAGTGAATTCGAATCAAAATCTTGAGGCATTGGAAATTCACCAACTCAAGCCCAAACTTTGTGTGTAAAAATGAGATGTCCAACCTCTCATCCATCCTTGGCCCTAATTATCTTTTCTAGTATGTTTCGATTTTTTTTCCATGTTCCTTTTTTCATTTTTTATTCTTCTTATTATTATTGATTTTTTAAATTAGTATTTTGTAATTTTAAACTGTCATCCATTATTATTACCTTTTAAACAAGTTTTCTCAAATATTATCCAGCTTTTAATAATGACCTTTATGTTTGTCACTCTTCCTCAATATCTGTCAATGAAACAATTATCTTTCATAATTCTGACCTATAAATTATTTTTATCCTTATATTCTTCTTTTTTACTCCTTGATTATTAAGTAATCTAATTTGATAATAAGAGTCCTGAACCAATTTATGATGCAATCTTTACTGGGATGCTAGAAAAGATTCGTAACGCAGGTGGATAATTTTGATGGAGTTTTGTGCTCTGACGAAACCATCCAACTCAGAGGACAAAACTCCATCGTAATCTTTTCTATCCTTCTATAGACATATATGCGCTGGAAGTGGATAGGACACACAAATTGAGGAAAGCACCCAACTGCGTCACAGGACAATCCCCAACATGGAATCCTCAAGGTCAAAGGAAAAGAGGAAGACCAAACAACACATGACACCAAGAAATGGAGACAGACATGAGAAAAATGAACAACAATTGGATCGAACTAGAAAGGAAGGCCCAGAGTAGATTGGATTGAAGAATGCTGGTCGGCGGCTTATGCTCCATTGGGAGTAACAGGCCTATCAAAGAAAAAAAGTCATAGACATATATTTTTCATATAACTATAAATACAAATGTACAACATAAGTAAATGATTTCATCGTATCACCGGTATTCATACCCAAAATATTGTTTTTGTCCAGCTGAAATACATAAATATTTATTTCATAAAACCAAAAGAATACTTTTCTTTTGAGATCAACAATTACATAATCACAAAATGTATTTATATTTTGCCTCTTTACAATGATAAAACATTGGATACATATCAGTACAATGTTCTTCATTTAATGATTAAGATTAAAATATTTATTACCTTTAACAATATACCATCATTTCATTTATACCATTACACCAAAATTAATTTTATTATCTATATAGATACTACTCATATTGTTCATTTCTAAGTTAATATCATGTTGAATGTATCAATTTCATTCATAAAGTAAAAACAAAACGAAATACAAGTTATTTTATTTACACTAACCGAATGTATTAAGTTGTAGTCGATGTATCAAATTGTAAGTTAAAGGTCTTATTTATTTCATTTACATTTCTTAACAGTTAAAATTGAAGAATTTAATTTAATTTACTTAAAATGTTAATTTTTCAATAAGATCAGTTGATGAAGCTGTGAATGTTCATTGACTGAAATGGTTGAGCCATGTGTTACATATGTCTGTACACCGATTAACACGACGCATAATGCTGATTAGTGTAAGGGATAATTAGAAGAAAGTTAGTGGCGGACAAACCAAAACTTTGCACCAGTGCTTGAAGTCATTAACTTCTGGTCTAAGCCATGTTGGTAGATTCAGACTACTTGGTTGTGATTTGTGAGACTATCATAACCAGTAATGGTTAGAGACTCTAGGTGACATGGCTCAGAATCGATCATAATGACTTAAGTGTATGCACAATCTGTCTTCCCTTAAACTATAAGATTGAAAACGATTCACATTTTTCTTTATTCCTGTACTATGTTCTTATATGCAATCTTTCTTTTATATATAACCACCTCTGAACTAACTACTTTTATGAATCAGGTGTCCATCTTGTTGTGTTAATGAGGTGTGGCAACTTGGACCGATGCACATATGTGCCTGGTCCTATGTTCTGGCTGACTGACTGATATGGTTTGATTCATTTCATTTATTCATATAAAATAACCTGAGGCTCTTTGTTTAATTTAATATAGAGTTATGTTATTTAAATCCATATATTCTTTTTGATAAACACCTCATTTTTAAGATTGTTCATCTGAAGACTATTCCTGATTTGATCTGAACGCCCGGGTAGTATCACAGCCTTCATACATATATCAATGATAACTGCTACTGGTCTCATTGTTATTGTGTGGTGCATATGTATTTGATGTCCCCTTGTACCGATGTTTATGTGTTCAAATATACATATGTATATTTTATACGAATATTCGTCAAGATTAGAACGAATAGTTTGACAGTAATTGAGCGCCGAGTATAGAGAAGTCATTATATGTGAAAATTCTATTTAAAATATTCTCAGCGATTGAAATATAACTAATTTCAACGTTTCGTCCAGCTAACTTGTCTGGACTTCTTCAGGGCAATAATCAAAATCAAAATTATCAAAGACATATATAGCTTTTAACAATCAGGATTATACTGTGTTAAACCAATCATATTTGGATGTTGATTTTTTTGTAAAATAGGATTAAATGAGTCAGTTAACTACAAATCATGTGAAGAATTCAACTACATAGAAATAATTAACTGAGTAACAAATCGTATGTGTGTGAGTGTGCAGGTATGTATGTATGTGTAAGAGATTGATATGAAGGAATAAATAAATAAATAAATAAATATGTATAGTTCACGACTCGATCTAAGCTAGACCACTATTGTAAAATTGGATGAAAGGTTGTACAAAATCATGTTGCAATTGAAGTTAGATGTTAACACCGTTGGATACCGGCCTGATCAGTGGCTTAGAAGTTAGGTGTCCGCGCGTCAGCCCGAAAGTCCTGGGTTCGAGTCCCTTTGGCGTGGGATCAGGGATGCATGCTGCTGAAGAGTCTCATACTAAAACGAAACGTCCATCCAGTGCTTTCAGGTTTTCTACGGTGGTCTAACTTCAACTGACTCATGAATTCAACTATTAAAAATCACTACAATCTTCACAAAACCCCTTTCTGAAAATAATTTTCTTACTACACCAAGTATACATTTATTTATCTTGAAATATGTGTATAATTAAAACAAAATTTATGAAATTCTTAGAGATTTGTTGATTAATACATTTTTTTAGATACCGATCAATAAAGAAATTTGACATGTTTGTTTTGTTCAACTAGGAATGTCTGTTTCATTGTTGAATTTCAACATAGAAATTATCTACACGTAAATCCTAATTGGTTAGTTGTCTACTAAATTTATGTTAAGTTGAAAAGTTTCCTGAAGTGATGAAACCAATTTAGTTATCATGTTCTTGCTGGGGTTTTTTCTAATTGTGTTGACTTATGTTGATTGAACTGACCTAATAAACTTATTCATCGCTTACTTTCGGCTTAGGTTCTATGAATACATTGTCAATAACTTCACATCATATTTAAACTGTTCTTAAAACATAATACATAATATTTGGTCAAATATCAGTCTTCAGTATATGTATCCTTTTTATATTTCTTTTTAGATATTATTTACAAAATATTCAACTAATATGATTAACTGTTGGTTTCAACCCTTCTGTTGTTTGATTGTTGGATTTCTAATATTAACCAGTTATATTAATTGCATGGACTCTAATGATGATCTTTCAGATATCAGTGCCGATAAACGCTTTCTGTTAGCTTTACCAACACCTAAAAGGTTAAGCCAACCTTCATATACATTTAACCGTTACAGACGTCCTATGTATGGCTATGGCTATAGACCAGATTATATTGATTCTGATGAAGATTTAGTCAATGAAGATAAAAGATTTCTACTTGGTCTACCGCCTAAAGTTGAATATAAACGTTTCCTACTTGGTTTACCACCATCACATAGACAACATAAAAGGTTCATTTTAGGTCTACCAGCACCAACTAGATTTCATTCATAAACGAAGATAGTTTTAAACAGGTGAATGTCTACACACATATGCAAACAAAAAATGTTACCATACATCTATTTATTCATTATTTAACATGTCTGAATAATAAATTATAAAGATGAAGTTTTGTTTTATATAAATGGTAAATATCATTTTCAGTATAGGGTTGTGGAGATTTTTGAATTTCTTTAAAATAATAAACCGGTCATGAGAAACCACTGCTGAAGATTCCCATACTAGGACGAAACAGCCTTCCAGTACTTCCAGGTTTTTAATGGTTGCCTAACTTAGATCAGTTTATGATTCAAACGAGATATCACATATCTTGCATTTATCATTTGTATTAGTTGGTTTTCTTAATAGATTTGGATAATATGAAAATATAATGACGCTATGCAGTATAGTAGTGCGTGAATCACAGTGACCGATAAATTAACTTGTTACTTTTTAAGCAATCCCAACTTTCATAATCGTAACAATAAAATATAAACAGAAGGTTTTCTGACAAGTTACTTTTATGGTGTGAAACGATATATTTTTTCAGAAATATACTTAAAAAACCCTGTTTACTAGATAAATCAAAACATTAGTTATTTATTCAAGTTTGTTATTTATTCATGCACTGAATCAGTGCACCAAAGTATACCACTAATACGATTCAAATTTATCCAGCCTAGGACTTGTTTTCTTAAATAAGAATTAATAGTTTTCATATTCACCAACGAGTTCGATAAAATACGTAGATAAAGAAACGAGTTGACATTGTATTATAACAGTTACTGAACAAAAACTAACAGACTATGAGTCTTTTAGCGATTTGTATCAGGAGCAGTTGGGATAGTTTTTAAATAGGAAAGCGTGTAAATACTTTCGCTAGTAGTTTAACAGACTGGAGGAATAAAGAGGTTCGATAATAAGATTTCGGTGGAGGATTTATCATATATCCGCTCTCAGTAAAAAAATAAAGCCGAAGCCATTTTCACGATAAGAGTTACTGAATTCAGAACAATTATTCATTCCTACTGTGGTAGACGCTATTCTCGAAATTGCTTGTAAGTAGTATGTAGCGGTGTGTGGCGTCAAAGTCGTCATAGCCGTCAGATAGAAAGAAGAGCTTTAATAAATCCTAACCACAACGTAACCAAAAAGCTTGAAAGCCAATCGAGAAAATAGCTTGGATTGCAGAACACACTCCAAGATGCAGGTGGATGATTGAAGACTATATGCAAGTACTGCGTATGTCCTCTATATATTCCAGTAAGCGAATTCGCCAGCTTATTTATCAGTGATAGGTAATAAGACTATAATTAAGTTGATTGTGCAAAACTGGACTGAAATAATGGCAGTATTAGACTAACACGAGATTATGACCTATTTGTGATGGAATTGGATTTATGTTGACGTTGGCAAGAGAATATCTAGCAACCGCATTGTAGTGCGATAAATCCAGAGCCGAGTCAGACTGATCAAATCCGCAGTGTATTGAAATGATTTCAAACCGCCCAGAGTGTCAATCATTCAACACGTCCTAAGTATTTATGGATCAATATAGCAATGGAATATGACAAACAGATAGATAGAAAACATGAGAATATTGAGAAGTTCCTCGTGAAATGCATCTAAATAAATTGCAATCCTAAGCACAAGTTAACCAATAGAAGTGAACTCATAAATTTTACCGTCACATGCTCTGTTAGGAACCATATTCCAAAATGAAGAAACAAATATATTCATTTAGTATGTCTGTATTAGATACCATAATATGTTAAGTTCAAATGAGCTGAACGGGGATTTTGTGACGGTCTAACTTACATCAACTCACACTGCGCAATAAATATTCAGTCTAGGTTTCCTTATTGTGATGCTCAAATAGTAGTGAATCTTTGAAATTCCTACAGAATAAATAGATTCTTATGACGTAGACATTTTATTCAGATGTGAAGAGAATGAAGAAGTGCATGTGGAACCATCACTGGCATTTTCTTACATCTTGTATTACACTGAGCTGTCCATGATAGTCATCCTTGACTTAGACTATATTCAGTAAACTGTTTAAATTTCACCGATCAATCCTTTAACGTAAAAACAGTCTGCTTGTTTTGAGATTTGGTTATGTCTAAATGATATTTCACTGCCCGAGCGGTATTCTAGTTACTTGTAAGTCCAGTAAAAGTATAGTCAACATAAGTGCCAAATGCTTACTATGTCATTTATTTTGGAGGAACGTTAATGTCTACAAGAGCTTGGTCAAACCCCTCAGCATGTCTTCAGTTAGTTGTACTGGCGTATTAACACTAACAACACTGCAAGTGGATAGTCGGAACCTTTAATTCCGAAAATATTAAACTGATATAAAAGAGGATCTAATAAAAGAAAAAGGTTTCATAAAGCGTTTGAGTGCCCCCAGTATCAAAGAACATGGATAAGTTAAAATATAAAATGGCCATGATGTAGATGCTTCTCTGACGAACAACAATCAACACCTAGAGTGCATCCCTGAGTTTGTCAGCTAATCCCTGAGACCTAAACGAACGAAGAACCAGGGAATACAACTTTATCATAAGTCTTAATCCCGTGCAAACAATAATCAGAACTTTCACTTGTAATTGATATGCTCCACTCCGTCTTCCTGTCCAGCGACAATCTTCAAATATGTACCAGTCAATAGAACGTAGCACAAAAATATTTATCCAAAATCAATAAGTGAGGGTCATAAAGCCGAATTTTGGTAAATAAAAAACCGAAAAATCCTATGGTGCAATTTTCCAGATACTTTGCTTTCACTTTTAATCGAGTAAAGTAAGCGAAGGACATCAAGTGCAAAATAGCACATAATTGTCAAGGCTAATTACAAAAGGTATAATAAGTATAAGCAATTCAAGGACTTCCCTGTTTAACTTTTAGTTATCTTTCTTTCAAGGGAAATTTTATAAAACGAACATTACCTTCATTTATAGTGACTAAACACCATCAGTTCTAGATCGATAGAGCGTTCATACAAAGCCACAAACCTCATAGAGAAATCCGAAGCCGTAGATCACGAAATGCTGGATTTATAGTGTAGCGGTAAATAAATCGTCAAAATCAATGGCTCTGTAAGTCTTTGACATTTGATGCTAACCACATTAGTTTTAATGGACTCAACTAGCTGAAGGCGCTCGATCATGCGCTTTCATCAGATCACGAGTGGGGACGCTGTGCTCAACTTCTCCTACAGCCGCTAGTCAGTTTATTTATGACTACAACCCACTCATCCCTACTAGTGGGGTTGCGAAGACCTTGAGACGCGACCAGCCATAATATCACACCCAACTGGTTTGCCGCTGGTAAATGCCTCTGAGACTTTGCAATGTCCAGCAGAATTCTCTGATCTTCCACCAATATAAGGAGCAATGCAGTACGACATAGTAATAAGAAATGTACCGTTAAGATCTAGATCCATTATATTCTTCATCGGTTTTTCGTCCTTTCTTGTCGTCCTGGAGAAAAAAGTTAAGATGTGAGTGCAGGTGAAAATAAACCTTCAAACCACTAACGAATATTACCTCTGTCAAATGACTGGAAGCCCGCTAGAATTAGACGGGAATGGTGTGACCAAACAACTAACATCGAAGTCACACCCCACGGTTAGTACCGAACGTGGATCGCCTTTTCGTCGTACCCAGGTACCATGGATGTGCAACATAAATAACGTCACTACAGGAATATATTACTAAGATTAGGTACAAGAAACAGACTACGATCACTGCTGCATAAGCCACTCCCTGACGTGGAATCGACTGATGAGTGTTGGTTGACCTTAAAGACATTATGCTACTAAACTACTGGATGATTTGGCTAGAGCCCAGTGACATTGCACTGACCCTACAAATTCATTTTTGCGTTATAAAGAAAAACGTTAGAAAAAGAAGACAAATATGCTGTGAGAAGAACTTAAATTATTTAACTGATCAAAAAACGTTGCATTGAATACTATTAATATTACTGCGTTTTTGGATATATTTGCTTTTCTCGACTTTTGAACTTAAGTGTTGAATTCGTGTGAAACGGAGATAACTATGGAAGCGAGGAACATAAGGCCAAAAGTGAGCTTCTCAAAGCTGTTTGTGGTCAGGATGGTGGAAGCATCTAGAAGGTACCACTTTTTTCCAGATTCCGAAGCTACCAAGTAGGAATCTCGACTAGGTGTGTTGTATTTTGTTATTGGTTTATGTTCCTGGGAATTATCACGTAACAACATCGTCATCTAGAATATTAAATCCAATGGTCCCGTCCTATTGTCAAGCAAATGACACGCCAGTCTGAACTATTCACTTGTCCAAGATTGATAGCTGTGCATTTGGCAGTGACATACAGCTTTATAACTGACTAGCTTATCGTTAAGATAATGTGGCTTATCAGTAGTTGGGTCTATCCAAGATGGATACACAGTGATAATGGATCAAATTTGGTGAGATCTAAGTGCGAATCGAGAGAACGTCTCCAGGATTAGGCACAGCAGTATGCACATTCTGATTTGCTCGAGAAAGGAACGGATCGACTTTTTAACCCTCCGGCAGCTGGTAACTGAGGCGGAGTCTAGTAGAACGTGATTCACCCTATTCGAAAGATATTATTTGCCCTCTTAGTATTGGGACTGCTTCAAGAGGCACGACAAAACCCTTATAGGCTCTAAAAGAGCCGAAGAGGTTCCATCCTATCAGAACCCGATAGGGATTTCCTGAATATCAACGTGGCATGCTACGACTGGAGAATATCATATATGGTATCATCGAAGATTAGCTGAATTATAATGATGCTATTGTCAACGCTAAGGATTATAAATATCCATGTTTCTACGCACATTTTAAATTCTTACCAAATAACCACTTAATTTACTTTCTTTTATCTTCTGATTTGCGGCTATGGCGTTCTACATGTTCGAGTTCCGTTATTTGTATATCGTATTCCACCGTAATCAAGTGAGGGACGTACCAAACAACCTTTAATATCTGAGTGCGTCGGAAATTTGATAATGATAACTGGATGGAATACTACTATTCAACCTCTGGTCCCCACTTTGAATGACCTGAATGATATCGATGAGATAGCACTGGCCAAGAAGTTGATGTTGAAAGGGAAAA